TCTGTAAATGACAGAGTGCGTCTGTGACAAGACAGAGTAAGTATGTGGCAGGCAGAGTAAGTCTGTGACAGATAAAGTAAGCAAAGTTAGTCTGTGACTTACAGAGCGTAAGTTTGTGACAGAAAGAGTAAGTTGGTTAAAACCGCAGATGAAATATTTATAACATCTCAGTTATCAGTGCAGTCAAATTGTGGATGATAATATGTTTACAATTAGGGATGTTAACGTTTTCATTCTTTTGAAAAACGATCCTTTCGTTATGAAAACGCTCGTTTTCAAAAAACGATCGAATTTCAAAACAATCATTTTTATAAAATTCGTCGTTTCGTTAACAATCGTTAATGACAACCCTTTGTTAACGATCGTTAACAAAAAACCTTCGTTACTGACAACCCTTCATTAACGATCGTTAATGCAACCCTCCGTTAGCGATCGTTAACAACAACCCTTCCTTAGCGAACATTAACGAAGAGAGGAAACCGACCTGAAGGGCATCTGTACTATTCATTGAGTAGTTTTTAAGAAAATATTAAGAAGTGTTAGCTCCCCCACAACTTCATGTAAGACGACATTCAATAAAGTAGCATGTATTTTTTCTTCAAAAACTAGAGTTTTTCCAATAACGACCGTTTTTGTAAAGTTCGTCGTTTTGTAAACGATCGTTAACGACAATCCTTCGTTAACAATCGTTATCAATTGTCAATAAAAATAATTTTTAAAAACGATCGTTTTAATAATTTCTCTTTCACTTCTTTTGGTTTTTTTTTTGCATTTATTAGTTCATCTGTTACCTTTAATTTTTGGCATATTGTGAGCTAAATTATAATTTGTGGCAGATTTTATGCATTTGGATACTTTTTGTGGCTTCTGGGCTTTAATGACATGAGTGGCAGATTATTTTGTGGCAGGATATAATTTGTGGGACTTTTATAGAATTTGTGTTGCATATTTTTTGCTTTCGGTTTATGTTGGCATCACAATTTCTGAATTTTTGGCAGATTTTACGTGTTTTTTTGTGTGTGACATTTTCTTCAGAGTTTAAATTTTTGTGCAGCGTATTTTATGCTTTAACCTTTATGTTTTTGTTTATTATTGGTAGCATATTTTCTGAGCTTTAATAGTATTGTGGCATATTTTTTGTGCCAGGGTATAACTTGCGGTATTTTTCATGTGTTAACATTACTTTGTGTTATATTTAGGCAATAATTGATAGATTTTGTTACAGATGATTTTATGCATTTAGAAACTGTTTGTGGCATATCTTCTGAGCTTTAATAACATGTGTGGCAGATTTCATTTGCCAAGAAATAATTTTGTGGCAGTTTTTTAGTAAAAGTTGTGTGGCATATTTTTTGCTTTTAATTACTGTTAGTGACAGATCTTATGACAGATAGCATTAATAAAAAAGATTTTCAGCTTATTCATAAATTTTGTTCTTTATTCATTTAGATACTGTTTAGCAGATTTTATATGGCAAGACATAATTTGTGGCATATTTTATGTTTTTATATACTGCAGTTAGTGGCATATTTTCTTCATTTTTTTAAGCGTTAGTTTATCATTTGTGGCTTTTATTTAGGCCTTAAAATGTTTTTTTTTTGTGGCATATTTTTAATATTTTTGACCTTGTTTTTGTTAAATAAAATCTGGGTGTACTGGGTGAACATTGTACAATGTGCACTCAAATTGATCCTGGATGAAACCCTGACCTACAGGGTTACCCACAAAAGATTGAGACTTTAGAGACGACTATACCGAATTGATACGTTTTGTTTCCTTACAATTGTTTGCAACTGCAAACTTATTTCTTTCCTTGCTACGTGATATAACTAGCTTAAGTGCCCGGCGTTGCCGATGTAATTTTTAAAAATCAAATTTTGAAGAAAAAAAACTCAGCCTTTTGAACATTTATAGCTAACATATATATTATATACATACAAATATTTGAATGAGTGAAGAGCTTTATTATATAGATAAACTATTAAAGACAAAAATCAAGGCAGAAGACTTATTTGACAATGGGATAGAAATATTTTTTGGTCGTCTTTACAGTCGCATCTTTTGTGGGTTACCCTGTATATTAAATTATCTATGAAATATAGAAACAAGTGTACAACTGCAAGGAATCAAAAATGTAAGAAATAACTTAGAATAAATTAAGTTCTATAGATGTTGTTAATCCTGTCCTGTATTTCTCTCTGTAATCTGTAGTCTATACCAGTATGACTATAATGACTATAACTCCAAATGAAGGTAGTTTTCATTTGCATTTTCAATCCACCAGACAGTCTTTCTATATACGATATATTAAATTATCTATGAAATATAGAAAGAAGTGTACAACTGCAGGGAATCAAAAATGTAAGAAATAACTTAGAATAAATTAAGTTCTATAGATGTTGTTAATCCTGTCCTGTATTTCTCTCTGTAATCTGTAGTCTATACCAGTATGACTATAATGACTATAACTCCAAATGAAGGTAGTTTTCATTTGCATTTTCAATCCACCAGACAGTCTTTCTATATACGAGCCCAATTCCACTGCTCAAAACTTCTAATTACATGCGTAATTTGCGTGAGGAGACTTCTATTTCTCAACAGATTGCGTGAGTTACGCAAGATTGGTTGTTTTTAGAAAAAGTAATTTAGTTAAAAATCTAAACTAGAACGAACATGTTCTTAAAAGGTTTCTTAAAAAAACCATTTAAAAAATCGTTTTATAGATTCGGGAAACGAAAACTTTTAGGACACTCAACAGAGAACGTAATTATTTTCAGTTCTTTTCGCTGTTTTTAAGGAAAGCATTTATTTTTTGCTTATTTTTTCCTCACCCCTTGAAATTTCTCAATTGAACACAAAATAATCGTTATTAAAGATAAGGTTTTTATTTTAAACATGACATTCTCTGAATACAATAAGTTAGGGAATCCAGTCTCGAATATTCAAAATACAAAACTGAATTGAATGGATAAATGAAAACAATGCTCTCATTAACCTCAATGCTGAATATAAATGATCATCAATTCATTTCAAGTTTTGTTTGTTTCAGAGTTCAAAGTTTTTTACTGATCAGAAAAAAAAATTATTAGTAAAATCTAAGTCATTAGTTTTGAAATTGTCGAGCAAAGAGTAACAAAAAATTAAATAAAAAGGAAATCTGCAAAACGCCACGGAGAGTTTTTTTTTGGGGGGGGGAGATATTTGGAAATAACACAATTCCATATTAAAAATCCAAGTTTCAAATTATTAGTTTTTAGCTCAAACTTGCTAAATTCGTATATTCTGAAGAATGCAACCCCTGATAATATTGGTTAAAATATCTTTGTCTCACGGCGCCGCTTTAATAAAGCGGGAAAAATCTAAGTAAAAAGCCAGGGTTAAAAGCGGTTTCGCATCCCAACTCTAGAAGCTAGAATTAAACCTATTAACGTAAAACATTAACCCCTCAAAAACCAGTATTAAATATGAAAAAGGTCAGAACTAAATTTGAACAGAATAACCTTGTACAGTTGGGAAAATAATGCAATATTAATGCAAAATATAATATTTGTAAAATTTAATTTAATTTGCAAGGACACAAACTGAACAATAAAGAGGTTTTATTTTGAAATAAAACTTTTTTCCATCCAAATAATTGTGAATTTCATTTATCTGGCAAAGGGATGGGCTAGGAGAAGGGGGGGGGGCAATGGACATGATAACCGGCGACATTGTTGGCAATGGAAAAGGGATGGGCTAGGAGAAGGGGGGGGGGCAATGGACATGATAACCGGAAGGGGGGTTGGCAATGGACATGATAACCGGGGACATTGTTGGCAATGGACATGATAACCGGGGACATTGTTGGCAATGGACATGATAAACGGGGACATTGTTGGCAATGGACATGATAATCAGCGACGTTGTTGGCAATGGGCATGATAATCGTCGAAGTTGTTGGCAATAGGCATGATAATCGGTGACGTTGTTGGCAATGGGCATGATAATTGGTGAAGTTGTTGGCAATAGAAATGATAATCGGCGACGTTGTTGGCAATGGACGCGATAACCGGCGACATTGTTGGCAATGGGCATGATAATCAGCGACGTTGTTAGCAATGGGCATGATAACCGGCGACGTTGTCGACAATGGACATGATAACCGGGGACATTGTTGGCAATGGATATGATAACCGGCGACGTTGTTGGCAATGGGCATGATAACCGGCGACGTAGTTGGCAATGGGCATGATAACCGGCGACGTTGTTTTGGTAAATTCTAAAAAGAAACTGAACTGAAATTATATAATCCCCATATATGTTTGCAAACTGATGTCGTAGATAAAATGGAAAATTTCAAAGTTATACTTCACCAGGTTGCAAAGATATAAGGGTTTAAACATTTGATATTTTGTGACTAATAACTTGTTAGTTTGTGACTACAAGAAACCATGGCACAAAAATGGACACGGTTTTAGGATATGGTCCTACAGAGGAGTTTAGAAGTCCAAGGATATGGTCCTAAAGAGGAGTTTAGAAGTCAACGTATATGGTCCCAAAAGAGGAGTTTAGAAGTCCAAGGATATGGTCCCAAAAGAGGAGTTTAGTAGTCCAAGGATATGGTCCTAAAGAGGAGTTTAGAAGTCTACGTATATGGTCCCGAAAGAGGAGTTTAGTAGTCCAAGGATATGGTCCCAAAAGAGGAGTTTAGTAGTCCAAGGATATGGTCCCAAAAGAGGAGTTTAGAAGTCCACGTATATAGTCCCAAAAGAAGTTCAGAAGTCAACAGTTCACATGAACAAGTACATGTAGAAGACTTAGCTCTAAGAACACCGAGATATCGCAGTAAAAGTGTGTTAAAGTTCCTATTTAATTTTAACTAATTCAAGTAATTTTATCTAAATTGTATGATTTTAGATAAAACCAGATCTGACTAGAATAAATAAAATATTCTTTGACATCTCCGTTTTATTTCAGTCCAAATCTCAATCCAATCAAAGGGTTTCTAAAATCTCCCTGTCCTTAAGAAAGCTAGATTTTACACCTGGTGCCTGGGAGGAGTAGACTTGTCTTCAGCTGGTAGATCTCCAATATCTATCTCATCATCATTATCCACAAGTAGGCTTATCTTTCTACCAATACTCCTAAATAGAAACAAAATAACAAGAAAGAATAACAAGTAAAACTAAAATTATATTACTTAAAGGGACTGTAAGCTTAATTTTTTAGTGACCCTCCAAGCTAAGATTGCAACGCCCGGTAAACAACGGTCCCTGAATGCGTCTAATCAAATATTCATTAGATATCAATGTTTTTGTTTCTTAAAAATGATTATTATAACTTGCGATTTCTCTTCGAAAGTGACTTGCACATTTCTTGCTTATTCAGAAGCAATGGAGAAAATTTCAGACTTAACAACTTATTGAGTCAGACAACATTGTTGATCAGATTAAGGCTTCCAGAGTCGTATTAAATCAGGCATTACCATCTTTGGATAGAGGGTCACTTAAACTCTGCTTTTTGGTTTATTATTGTTGTTTCAGTTAAATAGAATTTGCCAATAATAAAAAATATTTCATATTACTGTTTATTTTGAACAACATTTTGATTTCCCTTCCGCTAAATTTTGCAAATGAAAACCTTAGAAAAACTTACATTTTTCGTTTGCCCATCCCGTCCTCTGCCTCCATCTCCTCCAGCCTCCGGATCTCGGAAACTCTTATCAGCGCCTCCTCGCTCTGCTTCCTGCGCCGGTTCTTCCAGCTGTCCAGGTTCTAGACAATCAATTAATCAACTAAACAATCAGTCAAACATAAAAATAATTTAAACAATCAATCAATATATCAATCAATTGACAATTTTAAATTTAAAAATAGAGTTAAATTAATAAAATTATGGGGACAGAAAAAAAACAGCATGAATACAAAGAACCAAGAGAAGCTGTCAATTAATAGCTTCTCATTGTTAACTTGTTAATTTGAAATTTGAAAAACGCGTGTTAGAAATCAAGACGTAATTCGAAAAGTTGTCTTCATTGTATAAAGAAAACGCCGACCATTGTATTAGGGTGAATATATCAATTATCTTAATATTGATCCAGTGCAGTTAAGGATTGAATGTAAAGGAATAAACATAAATGAATTGATAAATAAATTAGATAAAATTCATTTGATTCATGATCTAAATGAAAGATTGGATATCATTCATTTGAATCAAAATGAATCAGGTAAAAAATTAGTTCAATCATCATGAATGAATGAATGAATGAATTCCCTTACAGGGGGAATAAGATGCAATTTGCGCGCACACTAAACCCGCGCGCAGGTTTGACCATTGTACTACGTGCTTATTATCCATCCCACTCTGGAAGGTCCGGGATAGTTTCTAAATTACCTTTTATGTCCCATAGTCTTTAAAAAACAATTTAATCGTGACCATACAAAAAGTATGTTTAGTAAAGTTGCAAATATCGGAGGGGGGGGGGGGTTACAGTTTAACGATTGTAAATATTGAAATGATGAAATATTTGTTTACTAAATAAACATGAATGTTTAATGTTTCTGCCGATACTGATGATAACAATTAAATATCCCACGCAGTGCAATTCTGTTAACCTTGCGTAATAAATATATACGCCCCCGTCATACCCAACCTTAATCTTCTCCAGACATCCAAACTCATCTCAAACCTTTCTCCATTCAAACTCATCCCAACCCTTTAGGAAACGTATCCTCCTTATCCCTATCATCCCTATCACCCCTATCTTCCCTATCATCCCTATCTTCCCTATCATCCCTATCATCTCTATCATCCATTTCATCCATTTCATCCATTTCATCCATTTCATCCATTTCATCCATTTCATCCATTTCATTCATTTCATTCATTTCATCCATTTCATCCATTTCAGCCATTCCATTCATTCCATCCATTTCATTCTTCTGAGCATACTCATCCATCCCATCCATCTAATCCATCTAATCCATCTCATCCATTCAATCCATCTCATACAATTCTCATCCAATTCTTATCCTTCTTATCCTTCTCATCCTTCTCATTATTCTCTTCCTTCTCATCCAGTTCTCATCCAATTCTCATCCTGCATACTTTTCTTATATTTCATCCCTTTCTTTTCTTATATTTCATCCATCTCTTTTCTTATATTTCATCCCTCTCTTTTCTTATATTTCATCCCTCTCTTCTCTTATATTGCATCCCTCTCTTTTCTTATATTTCATCCTTGCTCTGATTTTTTTTGCATCCTTATCTTCCCAGTTCAATTCTTATGGCTTCGCTAAGCTTCTTTCCTTTTTCATCCTAGGTTTGAAGGCATCAAAAAAGTATTCCCCCCCCCTTTTTCCCACTTGCACTGACAGCTTGAGAGCCCCTGATGAATAAAATATTTAAAGGTTTCTCATCTGTGTGTGGCCTATGTAGTATTACTAACGCCTACCCTGCTACACGCTGCAGGAATAAGGTCGCATAGCGGACGTATTCTTTATAAAAAATTAAAAGGAATTTTAATAAAATGAAGCAACCCCTGAATGCAGGCATCACAATGTCCTTCCTTCTTCGGATCCCTTTGTTTAAAGCATCATGATTATTTTACGCGGGAAAAAAGCAAAAAAATCCGCAAATTGGCGGCCATTTTTTCCATTAAATATGATTGTCGGTGCACTGTCAAAATTGCTTTCTTTCTATTTTTTTATGTTAAAGGGTGATACTATTGTGAATCGGACATGTACCTCTGTAAATTGTGGGTCACTTAAAATTAAATTTACCTTAAAGCGATTTTAAAGGATATTTAATGTCACTGTAATATAATAACAATAATATATTTCATAGAAGACTGCAGTAAATTTTGTAAACACAAAATCCTTTAAATTCGGCATTAGATCAGTGCATGCATGTTCAGGGAGGAGGGGGGAGGGGTAATGTTTNTACTCAGAAATACTTGCAGCAAATTTATTTTTCTCCGAAGTTCCCCTTTAAATACGGAAGCAAGAACTGCACGGACTGTAGCCTAGCTTGGTTTGTTAACTATGCTAATTCCCAGAACTCATTATATTCGCACAGACACACACACATATACGGTCACAAACAGTAGAAATGTCAATTCCAAATACTAATAGGAAATAATAGGAGGAAGTATTAGCATTTTTTTGGGCTATCATTCTGTTAAATAAATATTTTAAAAGGCATTCCATGAACCTTTTAAATGGTTCGTTTAAATTATTTTTTCTCCCTTCCATCTAACAGAATTCATAATTTGAAATATTTAGGGTTTACGACGTCGGGTTGCAAAGATGTAGAGATTAGAAAACATACCTAATACACAACCAGTTTAAAGCTGTATGCAAGTTGCCCTTGATAAATCTTTTAAATCAAAATAAAGAATTTATAATTTCCAATGGTCCATGGACTGATAAATCTCTAAAACTGAAAATTATTCACAATATTTCATGACAATGACAAGGCTTAATAAGACGACTTTTCTTCGAGTTTATGCTGATTCAGCTGTGGAAAATTGAACTTACCGATTGCCATTCCGGAGTTTCATCGCCAACCTTGACCTCCTTCTTCTTCTTTCTCACCTCCTCCACCAGGTGCATCTGCTTCGTCGCAGAGATCAGCAGAGGGTTCGAGTTCACCCTGTACAATGTAAATAAAAATTAATTAACTGAGTATTTGAGTTCACCCTGTACATAACATTATTAGATGAGTTCACCCCTGTACATAGACATTATTAGAGGAGTTCACCCTGTACATAGATATTGTTAGATAAGTGTACTCTGTACATAGACACTATTAGAGGAGTTCACTCTGTACATAATTATTTGAGGAATTCACCCTGAACATAGACATTATTAGAGGAGATCACCCTTTACATAGAGATAATTAGAGGAGTTTACCCTGTACATAGACATTATTAGAGGATATCACCCTGTACATAGAGACATTATTAGAGGAAATTAACCCTGTACATAGACATTATTGAGGAGTTCACCCTGTACATAGACATTATTAGAGGAGTTCACCCTGTACATAGACATTGTTAGAGGAGATCACCCTGTACATAGACATTATTGGAGGAATTCACCCTGTACATAGAGATAATTAGAGGAGTTACCCTGTAAGATAAGATAAAATACGATATAGTTTATTGCTAAAAATAGACATGTTAAAATGTTCTCTCTGTACATGTTGATGTTAAGGTTGACCCAAAAGTTTGATAATTTTGTATTTAACCACCATGTACAAAAAAGGACGCGGGAGG